AGTTAAACCTACCCGGATCCTGTCTTCCACTGTGCGGGAGAGCCATGTGCAATTTTAAGATTTGCTCGCCCTTAAACGATGACATTATATTTTAACTTCCGGGAGATTGTGATATTCCGTATGACCACAGTACAGAGTGGGCAGAGGCTGGTGGGTTGCTAAAGGGTATTTTTCCGGTCGAGTTCCTATCCCCTTCCCTGTTTCTCGCTATACTCTTTCGATGACAATACAAGCCAGAAATGTAGGACATAAACATGAACTGTTTTAATAGATGAAGTACTTTTTGACCTTTACGATACTAGTAGCTCTTCAAGATGAAGTCGTCTGATTAAAAATTGGCTACATCATTGTGGTTATTACTCATATTTAATTTTAATCAATGTAAACAGTCTATTGCTATTTGACGTGAGGCAAAGGAAGATACACGTTCGTAAACTTCTAAGTGCGACAGGGATGCCCTTTGTGTCCATATCTATTTGTATTGGTTTTAAATGGCATTGTCAAGTCAAAAGGTCTTACTAAAGACAGAACGTAGTGTAGTTCTTACAATGGAAACAGGACTGTTTGGTGATATTTTCATCAGTTTTTAAATAACATTGTCTAGGCAAAAGGTGTGGCAAAAGAAAATATGGGCAGGAAAGAGATGTACGCCTGCTCTTTTCGATTTCTAACCATGAAGTTTAACGAGCACACAGAACCTCGATCAACTGCTCCTCACTAACAGAGGGTAACCAGTTGAAAACCAAAAATATCATCTCGACCTATGTTAGGATTGGACCGACCCGCGATTAAGCGTGAAACTCAGTTTTTAGGTTGAAGACCACCATGACATTTTATATAATTTGATAAAATTAGGACTATTTGTATTTCAAAATATGTAAATACCCTTGTAAAACCCTTTTGAATTATAACTGTACATCACTTTTAAAAATTCCTAGCCAAACATAAAATTTGCATTTTGAATTTGTTGTTTAAATAAAAATTTACATTATTTTGATGTATTATTATCATTCTAAAATCCGCAATAAAATTCGTTGCGTTTAGAAATGCATGTAGGTCAAATTCCTAAGCTATGCATAACATTTCAATTTACAAAGGACCCTTGTCTGGGGCTAGGGTTAGTTAACCCATATCTTTAAGTTTTTATTCCAAAGTCGTAGAGTGGTATCGAATGCCCAGAGTTAAAGAGTTTAAACACCAAAAGCGCATCAATGAAATGACACGATTCCTATTTTTACATTCTTCTTGATATTCATTAATCGTCCATGTTTCAAGTATTCGATCCGCTCGCTACTAAAGACAGTGTAAGAATCAATAAAATCTAGTAACAAAACCAGATCTACTTAAAACAAAGCTAGCTGTGTGGAATCGCTGAACGGGATGCCAATTTGATTTATTCCTTGATAGCCCCTTTGCACCTATTGTAATTGTCTTATGTAATGAGAAAGACTTTGGGTGAAATACTCTTAAAATATACCCGAATAGTGTTAATATATACAACTCAAGAATTCATTAGGAACGTTAATTAAAATTCAGATACGCCCAAAAAAGATATTTTAAGCTAGTTACTTACTTAAAGAATATCCGTCAACATAATGTAAGCCCACAGTGATGGTAAGAAATAGCATCAAATATCCTGCAATTGGTTCCTTGGAAAAGCTTCTGAAGTTCTGCATTTTGATGGTAGTGAAGGCAGAATTGTCTGTTACTTGGCCTAACTTGGATCAGAAAGTTATGACAAAGTAAGAGAAATATCTCAGGCAATTATTTATAAGACGTTTTATTGACATTCGGGGTCATTGTAATTTTTTAGATTCTTACGATGCAGAAAGAAAGACTGGTGGAAATCGCGCTCCGAGTGACTCAAAACAACCCATTCAACAACCTACTAGCCCGTTTTTACTATCTTTCCCATTGTCCTTATTAAGACTATCGTTTACTCTGATAAGCCCCTAGATTAGACAGACAATGAATAATCAGAGGAATCTGTTTAAGGATTTTATTGGTAAATAAAGGAAGAAAAGAAATAATTTAAAATAGTGAATACATTGTATATGTAATGGTACTGATAGTATAAAGTTACTAACTGTTACCACTTATAACAATTGTGCAGTGGATAATACTATAGGTAGATAAATAACAGGGGTAGGGCAATATGCCAATATACCAAGACTTAGGGCGAAGAACACCTCTCTGGTATGCCAATATGCCAAGTCTTTGGGCGAAGAACACTTCTATGGTATGCCAATATGTAAAGCCTTTGGGCGAAAAACACCTCTCTGGTATGACAATATGTCAAGCCTTTGGGCGAAGAACACCTCTCTGGTATGCCAATATGTCAAGCCTTTGGGCGAAGAACACCTCTCTGGTATGCCAATATGTCAAGCAAGCTTTTGGGCGCAGGAACACCTCGCTGGTATGCCAATATGTCAAGACTTTGGGCGAAAAACACTTCTATCGTATGCCAATATATCAAGCCTTTGGGCTAAAAACACCTCTCTGGTATGCCAATGTGTCAAGCCTTTGGGCGAAAAACAAGTCTATGGTATGCCAATATGTCAAGCCTTAGGGCGAAAAACACCTCTCTGGTATGCCAATATGTCAAGCCTTTGGGCGAAGAACACCTCTCTGGAATGCCAATATGTCAAGCCTTTTTGGCGAAGAACACCTCTCTGGTATGCCAATATGTCAAGCCTTTTTGGCGAAGAACACCTCTCGGGTATGCCAATATGTCAAGCCTTTGGGCGAAGAACACCTCTCGGGTATGCCAATATGCCTAACCTTGGAGCGAAGCGAATATCTATAAGAGAACATGATAAAGTCCTTCAATAGAAAAATAAAACGGGATGATTTGAACCCGGAAATCTTGAAAATTCAACCATTACTATTCATACGTCCAACATGCACCCATAATGCAATATTGCATCATTCATTGATAGGATTCTAGAATTATAAAAATCACAGCATCCGGTTAAAATAAGTAGCTCTCATATTCCATAATATTGAAATATAATATGATATATTGGTATAGTAATTTTGTTTTGAATTTGGCGTGAGACAAGGATCACTCTTATGTCCTATTCTTTTCATTATATTGATTAATGTCTTTACGAAACTTCGCCACAGTACTTTAATTTTAGTGCATCTCAAATTCAGTAACGTTTTAGGGCTAGGACTCAGGGGCTAATAGGCTGTTGAATGACCCACAAGACAATCTTTTCATCCAGCAGATATGTGGCTAAAGTCTGTAGCAAAATAGTGAGATAAATTAATACTGATGTTTTTGTATTCTCTCAGAACGGGAAATTTACTTCATCTAGTTCCCAGTTCAGATAAATCATCATGACTTGGCTTTTGAAAAGAGAATAAAGCCAGATTGCTTCACGTACCTCTATTATTCGCTACGAACAATATGCAATATATCGTTCAATATAGCCGTTGACGAAAGTCGTCAATATAATTAGATTTATGTTAGCTTTTAACACTTTAAGCTAATTCCACAAATGTCTTCACGTATTGCACTTTCGGAAGATTTTAATTCGATTTTCATATATTTTAGTTCATTCAAACTAAAGCCTATGTAGCTTTGGACAACTTTGTAATGTATTGTTTGTTATTGATATTGAATTTAGTCACATAATAATTTTTGGAAACTTTAATCATGTTCTTGGTCGGAAAAGGAGAGAACATTCAACTTTAATGCGTACTTCTCACCAGAAAATAAACGCTTTAAAAGTAAAATATTCCGATCTTTGTTAAAAATTAACTTAATTGGTAATGATGAGATGTGTTCACAAGATGTCATCAGAATTTTTCACAGAAACCGAAAATCTTTGGGAGTGCTACTGCATATAAAAATCAGTATTGACAACAAGAAACATGTCTCCCCAGATACTGGGAGTGTCATCAATCATTACCATCTTTATCAAACAGGACACTGAGCGACACGAAGAAAGGATATAGACGTTGTTTAATCAATGATACAAGAAAGCAAATATAGACTACAAAATTCTGTGGTGAATCTTCGATAACTTTTAGAGTTATAAAGGGATAGGAGTATTAGAATACGGATATTTATTTATTTGAATAACTGATTGATATACATTCCTTTCCATTTTTCTTTTACTATTTCTGGGTTCAAAGTAGTACATTTACCAAATTCATTTCTGAAAGAAAAACCCGAATCCGCATTCTCGAGACGATCTTAGCGCTAGGACGTTCCAAAAACAGTGTCAGAAGTTAAGACCCTAGGACGTCCTAGCGCTAAGATCGTTTCGAGAATACGGGGCTTGGTAATCATAAAAATCTTAGCAGTTAGATGTTGAACGATGTATTCAAATTTAAATGCACGAAGTTATCGACGCACCATCTGTAATTTAAGACAAGACTGCATTTATATGTCCTATCTCGTAAAGCTTCTTTCTTACTGACCTTGACATCGTCTTCAGTACCCCGAAAGTAGGACGTAAAGCTCCATTAATTGTCATTATGGTGGGATTTCATCATTGAAACTTTCCACGACAAAAGCAAAAGACTTTTTGTCTAATCACAAATCAATCAAAGAAGTACGTAGCTAACGTAGCCTGGTTGTGAAACTTTTATTTCTGTTTAAAGAAATGTGGAATTTCTAATGAATGATTGCAAAGGTGGAGCAGATCCTTCTATAAACAAGAACAGACAACTGGTTCTTTCTGATTTGCCCATACGACCCGTGAGCTTAACATTGACCTAACTGGAAGTGTATGGTCGAAGGTCACCTAAAACAAGTTCGAGATCAGTCCAAGCCCGTAATAAATATTTGCTTTTCAACTTAAGGACGACGTCCGAGATCTATTGAAGCATATGTTTTTTGTGTTAATCACCTAATTAATATCAAGCAGGTGTTTTTTTAGTCTATTTTTTAAAATTCCGCAAAATCAACACAAAAATCTTCTCAACAAATCAATATATTTAAGATATATAAGAACCATGAAAATCTTGACGGACATCATTATTCCAACATGAAGGGGATTATAGCCCTTGGCTTGTTGGCAGCGGTTTGTTCGGCCGATATCCTCTTTACGAGTGACAACAACGCTAATCCTGGTGTTAGCTTTTCAGCAGACCAATCTAAGCCAGTATTCAACGAAGATCCAGTAGCATTCACAACCAATGGCGACGCACAATCAGCGAATGGACAGGAATCGTTTATAACGAGCGGCGAACCGATACAGTTCACGGATTCGGGGCTGAGCTTTACGGAGCAGTCTAAACCTGTCCCCAATCAGGTTCAATTCGACGAATCACAAAAGCAGGAACCCGTCGTTTCACCATCCATTAGTTTCGAACATCAAGATGATGGATCTCAAGTCAATCTTGCTGGTAATGGAAGACAAACCGCGTCAGTTGGAAGACGACCATCATTCAGCGGCTCCAGAGTCAATATTGATGGACAAAATGGTGGCAGACCAACAATTTCCTTAACAACTGACAGACGACCACCATTCAGTATTGAAAGAAACAACAATCAAAATGTAAGACCTACGTTTGATAATGTCCGCAAACCAACCAGTCTTTGGGGGGGCAGTAACAGCAATAACCAACAGCAAGCAACCAACAGTAGATTCAACTGGCGGTTGAACAGCAATCAAAGTACCAAACGACCAACCACAAGCAGCGGAGGCAGTAGCCAACCTGGTCGTTTTTCGGCTAATCTTAGAGGCGACACCAGCACAACCAATGGCCGAGTAAATTTCAACCTGAGAGGACAGGGTGGATCCCAAAATAACCTTAACCTTGGAGGAAACAGGTTCACACGATTTAACAGCGGAAGTAAGACTAGTATTCAAGGTAATAGATTCAATTTTAACCTTCGTGGACAGAACTCTGGCAACAGTGCATCATCTACCAACAAAAATGGTCGATTTAATTTCAATCTGAGAGGACAGACCAGTGGTACCGGCGGAAGAACATCTACAAACCGATATGTCAGACCATCGATCAATCTTAGAGGTCAAACTAGCAATCAAAATGGCCGTCTTTCACTTAACCTTGGTAGCAGAGTCAACTCCAACAGTCAAAATGGTGGCTTAAGTGCTGGACTTTCCAATCTTAAAAACAGATTCAACTTGTTCAATCGTGGAAATACCAGAAATGTTGGTTTGAATAAAGGAACAAGTCAAACCGACCGAGTAACGCGACCTCAAACGTCTTCAAACCGATTCTCTGTCAACTTCCGAGGAAACAACCGAGGCGGTCAAACCACCACGACTAACCGCAACAACCGGTTTAACCTCAATCTAAGAGGAGATAAAGACGGAATTTCCGTACATCGACCAGCTACTGCCGTTTCTCAAAGACCAATTAGCCAAAATTCCGGGTTTAAATTCAACTTCAGAAATGCTGGCGGAAGAACACCATCCACTGGAAGCAGTAAACTCAGCTCTATGTTGAACCGATTTAATTTTGGAAGACGCAACAGGACAAGCACCTCTGTCGTAAACAAAATTGGCTCAGCTCTAAATCGATTCGCCAACGTCTTTAAGAAACCAACCGTTTCGTTTACACGTCCTTCTGTCACAAAACCAAGTAGCACTCACACAAGCTTCAAATGGAATCTCAATTTGGGCAAAAACCGAACTGTTGGATCAACATTGGGCAATATTCGAGATGGAATCAGCTCCATAGGAAAGACAATTGGTAAAAACATTCACCTGATGAGTATGTCTTTACTGGGAGGAAAAGGAGGCGAGGACAACACTGGTAACACAGACCGACGAACCATCAACCTAAAAGGTGTCCGAGTCAACAAGCTGAGAAATGCCCACATTGACAACGAAAACGATGAGTTTGAAATTAAGGAAATTTCCGAAGAACTGTCAAATACAAGTCCCAGTAATCAAGAGAGAAGATCGAAACTCCAAACCCGACTTCAAGGTATTCGATTGAGACTTGCTATCAGAAAGAACCGAACCAAAGAAGACGCAAGAGACATGGCACGCATCGTTCGACTCACTGCTGACCTCGGCAAAGTTGATACCAGTAATGAAGAAAGAGTAACCTATCTCAGAAACAGAATTCAAAGAATACGAAAGAGGCTCGACATACGAAGAGAACGAACTACAAGAGATGATGACGATGAAGATGAAATCGAAAACAAAGAAACAGAAACCGAGCATGTTGAACCAACAAATCAACATAAGCGAGCATCTCTACGTGAACGAATTCAAAACATCCGACAAAGACTTAATCTGCGAAGAAGCCGAACAAACGCCGACGAAGATGACGAAGCCAAAATCGACAATTTAGATTCCGAAGCCGAAGTTGAAACAAACCAAGAACGACGGGCCAATCTTAGAATAAGACTTCAACGAATCAAGGAACGACTCAACGCCAGAAGAAACGCCACTAAAGCAGATGATGACGATGAAGACAAAATCGAAAACTTGAGCACTGAAGTTGAAAAAGTTGACCCCACAAACCAAGAAAGACGAGCCAATCTTCGAGATAGAATCAGAAGAATCCGAATTCGACTCAGCATCCGACGAAATCGAGTACAAACCGATGACGAAGACGAAGCTAAAATGGACAATCTTGCCTCCGAAGCAGAAAAAGAAAATAACCAAGACAGAAAAGTCACTTTAAGAGAAAGAATCCAAAGAATTCGCATCCGACTTGGCATCCGTCGAAACCGAACACGATCCGATGATCAAGATGAAGCCAAAATCGACAATTTAGATTCCGAAGCTGAAGTTGAAACAAACCGAGAACGACGAGCCAATCTTAGAATAAGACTTCAACGAATCAAGGAACGACTCAACGCCAGAAGAAACGCCACTAAAGCCGATGATGACGATGAAGACAAAATCGAAAACTTGAGCACTGAAGTTGAAAAAGTTGACCCTACTAATCAAGAAAGACGGACAACCCTGCGAGATAGAATCAGAAGGATCCGAATTCGACTCAGCATCCGACGAAATCGAGTACAAACCGATGACGAGGACGAAGCAAAAATGGACAATCTTGCCTCCGAAGCAGAAAAAGAAAATAACCAAGACAGAAAAGTCACTTTAAGAGAAAGAATCCAAAGAATTAGCATCCGACTTGGCATCCGTCGAAACCGAACACGATCCGATGATCAAGATGAAGCCAAAATCGACAATTTAGATTCCGAAGCCGAAGTTGAAACAAACCAAGAACGACGAGCCAATCTTAGAATAAGACTTCAACGAATCAAGGAGCGACTCAACGCCAGAAGAAACGCCACTAAAGCAGATGATGACGATGAAGACAAAATCGAAAACTTGAGCACTGAAGTTGAAAAAGTTGACCCTACTAATCAAGAAAGACGGACAACCCTGCGAGATAGAATCAGAAGGATCCGAATTCGACTCAGCATCCGACGAAATCGAGTACAAACCGATGACGAAGACGAAGCTAAAATGGACAATCTTGCCTCCGAAGCAGAAAAAGAAAATAACCAAGAAAGAAGAGCCACTTTTGGAGAAAGAATCCATAGAATCCGAATTCGACTTAGCATCCGTAGAAATCGAACACGATCCGATGATCAAGATGAATCTAAAATCGATGATTTAGATACTGAAGTCGAGAAAGAAGCTAATCCAGAAAGACGATCTGCTATCCTCGGCAAAATCAGACGGATACGATTCCGACTCAATCTTCGACGAAACAGAACCAGAGATGAAGACAGTGACGAGGATGAAGTTGACAGATTATCCACAGAGGTCGAAAGAGCTGAACCGAATACTGCAGACAGACTTCGTGAAAGAATTAACCGACTTCGGGAACGAATCAACATTAGACGAATTCGAGCGGATGCTGATGAAGATGACGAAGAACAGGTTGATGATCTGGAATCTTCAGTGGAAAGAACAGATCCTGAGAATCAAGAACGTAAACGAAGCTTGATCAGTAAAATCAGAATCATCAGGGAAAAACTCGAAGAAAGAAGAGACAATGAGGACCAAGATGCAAGTGATGAATCTGAAATAGACAACTTGTCCAACAAAATTGAAAATACCGGAGAAGAAAAACGAGAGTCCATCCTCAACAGAATCAAAAATATTCGCATTCGTCTCCGACTTAGAAGAAACAGAGATCGGGAAGATGCAGTTGATGACAAAAAGATAAGAACCCTGACGAAGGAAATTTCCACAGTTGAGCCTAATAACCAGGGACGTCTAGACGCAATCAAGGACAGAATCCAGAGCATACGGGAACGACTCAGCGAAAGAAGAAACAAACGCCAAGGCGATGATTCAGATGAAAATGAAATTGAGGAACTTTCTGAATCCCTTGACGCTGAAAATAGCGATGATGAAGGAGGTCGATTCAAAATTCTTGACAAAATCAGGAACATCCGGGACAGGATCATGGGTAGGAATCAACCACAAAAACCAGAAGAAGAAGCTGCTGATCAAGAAGACGAGGACGAAATTACAGATCTCTCTGAAGAAATTGACAACACTGATAATACCCAAAGAAGACAAGATCTCCGTCACCGCATCCGATCAGTCCGAGAACGTCTCACATCTCGTAGGAATAGACGACAAGATGATAAAGATGACGAGGAGATCTCGGAGTTGACCAGTGAGTTGGAAACTATTGATCCAAGTAAGGAAGTCCAGAGACAAAAACTCAGAACACGATTACAAAAGATTCGAGAAAGGCAAATGAGAAGACGAAATCGAGCTCGGGATGACTCTTTAGATGAATCCAGGATCACTGATTTGAACGATGAATTGGATACAGTAGACCCAAGCGATAGAGAAAGGAAAGTCAATCTTCAAGAACGAATTATCAGTCTGCGAGAACGGCTAACTACAAGACGTAGACGCAATAGCGACGATGATGAAGACGAAGCAACCATTGATAATTTAACTACTGAGCAAGAGACACAAAAACCATCCGAAGGTCGCCTTCAATTTATTCGAAATAAAGTCATGGAAATCAGAGAAAGACGAAAAGCTCGACAAGAAAGACGTGAAGCTGATAATGGCGATGAGGATGAGTTAGGCCAAATGTCAGAAGAGCTGAAATCGACCGATGAAACGCAATCCGAAAAGAAACGATCTTTGAAAATCCGAATTAGTGCCATCAGGCGAAGATTGAGAGAACGCAGGGCTCAGGATAATGATGACATAGAATCAGAGGACGATTCCCCAAAAAGTTCCCGATGGAACTTAAGGAACGTTGTCGGAAAGGTCGTTAAAAACCTCAAAGATAAGACAGAAGCTGCAATTGATGGTCTGAAAGATACAGACAAAGATGTCATCGACCTTATCAAAGAAACAATCGGAAATGGAGTTAAGGATGGCGAACAACGTATTAACTTTGCCAAGGGCAAGACTGGAGATATCGTTGGTGAATTGGAAACTAAAGGCAAAGGTGTAGTTGACAATATCAAAGAAAGACTTGACAATGGACAGAATGCTGAAAATGTCATCGATATGATCAAGGAAAAAACTGGCGGAGTTGTTGATGAACTTGAAACCAAAGAAAAAGACGTTGTTGACGCACTAAAAGACAAAATCAACAAAGGCCGACAAGAAGTCAACAAGATCATTGAAAATGTCAAAGACACAACTGACGAAATCGTTGATAAGAGTGAAGGCAATCCTGGGGAGAAATCCACCGGTGGAAGTCAAACAACCTTCAACACTGGTTCTGGCAACCCACGATTTTCATTCCAAAGACCAAATACTGACGAAGAGACTGACGAAAACAACAACAGATCCAGATGGGGACTTGGTGATTTGGTGAAAAACATCGTTGGTGATGTAAAAGACAAGGCTGGAAACTTAGTCGAAGAAATCAAGGACAATGGAAAAGATGTTATGAATGAAATCAGAGAAAAGATCAACAATGGCCGACAAGATGTGGACAGAATGGTTGACGCCGTCAAAGACAAAACGGGAGGCATCGTTGATGAACTTAAAACTAAAGGCAAAGATGTTGTTGACAATCTTAAAGAGAGACTCAACAACAGACGCGAAAATGTTATTGATATGATCAAAGAAAAGACTGGAGAAGTAGTTAATGAACTTGAAACCAAAGGACAAGACGTTGTAGATGCACTTAAAGGCAAAATCAACAATGGCCGACATGATGTCGACAAGATCATTGATGCTGTCAAAGACAAAACTGACGAAATCGTTGATGAGATTGAAGGCAATCCTGAAGAGAAATCTACCGGTGGAAGTCAAACAACCTTCAACACTGGTTCTGGCAACCCACGATTTTCATTCAAAAGACCAAAAACTGACGAAGAAACTGACGAAAACAACAACAGATCCAAATGGGGACTTGGTAATTTGGTGAAAAACGTCGTTGGTGATGTAAAAGACAAGGCTGAAAACGTAGTCGAAGAAATCAAGGACAATAAAAAAGATGTTGTTAATGAAATCAAAGAAAAACTCAATAATGGCCGACAAGATGTAGACAGAATTGT